AACCTGTTCTTAAAGGCCTGCAAATATGGAGACTCCATAGCAGCTTATTCCACTGCTTTTATCATCTCCATTGTAATTCTTTGCCCCTTAATGTCTAACTCTGCAGCCTGTGATAAAATTTGAGGTAATTACTTCTTGCCCTATAAAACTAATACAGTGCACAAGCCCCTTCCTCTTTACAGTTTTCTTTTTATGTAGTCGAATACTTACCATCCTCAGTTCATATCTTCTCTCAGTTCAACAGCATGAATTCCTTCACAATCTTTCCTTGTAGGTCACGCTTCAGAGACCTATTATTCTCTTTATTCTCATCTGGACTCTTTACATTGAATCACCTGTTTAAGTGCAATACTGAAAACTAGACACAAACTAAGGATGTAGCTGCAGGTTTACCATCCTCCTGTTTGTATATTCTCAGTAGGATGCTTGCCTTTTTCACAACTCGCTATTTGTTGACTTGTATCTAGCTCATTAACTCTGCTAATCCCCACGTTCCTCCTGCTTTTTAAGAGCTATCCCTAGCCAGCTGTTTGGCATCTTTTATTTGTGAACCTGATCACCATCTTGCTGTGTGTCCTTGCATGTATTGTCTGTTTAATTTCACCCTATTTTTTGCATCTTATTTTTCCAATTTGTCCTGACCTTTTTGAATTCAACTCATCTTCCACTATACTTTCAGGTCCTCTTAGCTTTGTAAGATACACATGTGCTTACCAGGTTCTGGGGTATCAAAGTCATGTTCTAGCAAAATCAAGGAAGAATTTTCCAAGCTGAACAAATCTCTCTGGAAATGAGTCAGACACACAAACTTTTTGGGCCTTCTTTGTATGTGAAAAAGCAGTATTAAAGCTCCAAGCATTAGAAACTTTGCTTCATACTGTTTCAAAACTCATTAACATCATGGCAGGAGGAAAATTCAGAAATATATTTAAAAAAACCTCCAAAACAAACAAATCCACAAAACTAAGTTAAAACAACACCGTGAAGCTGAAAAGTTCACCAAAGCCAAGAACACTCTCCTCAAGTCACTTCATCCTGCTTAAAAATTGCCAGTGGAAACAAACATAGTTTGATGTAAGAATTTACTTTTTTTAAAAAAGGAAGGGGTTTAAGACAACTTAAAATGGAATTTTGTTGGGGTGGTTAGAGGGAGTTAATTTCATTGATGCTCTTCTGGTATATATGAATGGTTTCAGCTTATTCTTTAAAAAGCATTGAAATATTTTTCTAGCCTTTTTTTGCTGAGGAAGGAAGCTCTGAGACAGAAGCAACAACGGAGAGATCATTTTGGACTGGATTCTTTGAACTGTTTTTATTAACACCTATTTAGCTAATCTACTATTAAAAAGGGTTTGAATGCTTAAAATCACATGGAAACAAGCTCACTGTACCTTGTCAATCCTGTCTAATATAGTTCTCTAACTGTGAAAGGAAAACCAAGCCTTACTGCTCTTGACACTTTACAGGAGAAGAAACCAGCAGAAAGTGGTCTCAAGTTTTTAAAAAGTATTTCCTGCATCACAGAAAATGTCAGAAAAACAAATTCAAATTTGCCCTTGAATGTTTTTCTTTCTTAAGATCTAGTGCATTTGCCAGATATACACACTTCAAACTCTCTCTGGCTTGACTAATGTTAAATTAGCTGTAAGCAAGGGACTCCCAAACTCTGCTACACAAGCTATTTCAAAACAGCACCTCATACACCAAAACCTATCTCCCTGCACCTCTCCCAGTGGAAACAGGGAACAGTTGTTTGGGCAGCAAACACTGCCTGCACATGCAAACACCTCTTTTTCTGTGCACAAAGTTTAACAAAACCAGAAGTTTTTCCTGCAGCTTTAGCGTAACATTTCTTAGAATCATAGAATCATTAAGGTTGGAAAAGACCTCTAAGATCATCAAGTCCAACCGTCGACCCAACACCACCATGCCCACTAAACCATGTCCCTAAGCGCCGCATCTACACGTCTTTTAAATACCTCCAGGGATGGGGACTCAACCACTTCCCTGGGCAGCCTGTTCCAATGTTTAACCACTCTTTCAGTAAAGAAATTTTTCCTTACATCCAATCTAAACCTCCCCTGGCGCAACTTGAGGCCATTTCCTCTCGTCCTATCGCTTGTTACTTGGGAGAAGAGACCAACACCCACCTCGCTACAACCTCCTTTCAGGGAGTTGTAGAGAGCGATGAGGTCTCCCCTCAGCCTCCTGTTCTCCAGGCTAAACAACCCCAGTTCCCTCAGCCGCTCCTCATAAGACTTGTTCTCCAGACCCTTCACCAGCCTCGTTGCCCTTCTCTGGACACGCTCCAGCACCTCAACGACCTTCTTGTAGTGAGGGGCCCAAAACTGAACACAGTATTCGAGGTGCGGCCTCACCAGTGCCGAGCACAGGGGCACGATCACTTCCCTACTCCTGCTGGCCACACTATTTCTGATACAGGCCAGGATGCCATTGGCCTTCTTGGCCGCCTGGGCACACTGCCGGCTCATGTTCAGCTGGCTGTCGACCAACACCCCCAGGTCCTTTTCCGACAGGCAGCTTTCCAGTCACTCTTCCCCAAGCCTGTAGCGCTGCCTGGGGTTGTTGTGGCCCAAGTGCAGGACCCGGCACTTGGCCTTGTTGAATCTCATACAGTTGGCCTGGGCCCATCGATCCAGCCTGTCCAGGTCCCTCTGCAGAGCCTTCCTACCCTCGAGCAGATCAACACTCCCGCCCAACTTGGTGTCGTCTGCAAACTTACTGAGGGTGCACTCAATCCCCTCATCCAGATCATTGATAAAGATATTGAACAAGACCGGCCCCAAAACTGAGCCCTGGGGAACACCGCTCGTGACCGGCTGCCAACTGGATTTAACTCCATTCACCACAACACTCTGGGCCCGGCCGTCCAGCCAGTTTTTTACCCAGTGCAGAGTACACCTAAGCCGTGAGCTGCCAATTCTTATTCAGCTATGGTGATGCCCAAGCAAAATAAGAATTGTTGCTGTACATTTAGATGCTATTCTGTGTCACCTTCAACAAATATAAAGGATAAGCTGTACATCTGGTTCAATAGCTGAATAGATATATCTGAAGTAGTTCCCAGTTTCAACATTTCTGATACTGATGCAATAATAGTTTGAGATCCAGAGAAGTTCCCAGGAAGCTTTTGTTTAAGTGTTTCCTCTTAAAACCTAATCGCTGTAACTCTGTGCAATGCGATGATAAAAGTAGCAGAAACTCTAGTCTGTGTCAGGAAAGCTGACCTAGCACTATCAGCAGTGGGAAATTTTTAGAGAAATAAAAACTTGTGTGGAGAACACTTACACTAATCATATAGTTGGAGGTCACTGGAAGTAAAAAGGATTACACTCAGACCTTTCTCCACACATAAAAATCCCTGAAAACTCCTTTTTTTCATACAAGAAAATGACAGCTCTTAGAACATACATCTTTCATTTCTCTTTCCAATTCACTGAAGAGTATGTTGCTCAAGACTTCTCACCTAATGGAAGAAGCAAGCGAGCTTTGTTTTTTCTTTCCAGTACTAGATGTGTGCAAGTATAGTGGCCAAATATATTACGCAAAGGATTGTTAATAATGTTTTTACACCTGCATCAAGGAATAAAGCAGAAAATGGGTGAAAAAGGCAGTCTTAAGATAGTGTTAGTTTTGTGATGGGTATATGTGGAATCATTCCACCTGGCTGTATTATCAATATCAGGCAAATTAATCAGTTTTTCCAAAGCAATCTCAAAAGATCTGTCCCATGCACACTGCATACTACCAAGCCATGTGAAACATTTTTGCTATTAATATCTGCTTAGTAAAATGTAGCATCTTTCTAATAACGTCACTCCACTTCAGCAGTATGAATACTTAGGAGTATGATAAACACCACCAAACAGAATAAACAAAAAAAGACTTAATTTGCATAGCAGGTTAGTAATTTCTTGCTTACATCCACTTATTTGCAAATAATATGTGTTATTCTAAAATAATAAGAATGCAAATGCTTTGTTTTTTAGTATATGTAACAGAGCTGTATAGATGCACTAAATCTTTAAAAATAACTTCTAAAAATATCTTTTTGTGATTATCATCAACAGGGGAAAAAAACACACTGAAGAAGTAAAAAATTGTCCAGAAGGCTATAATGGGTTACGTTTCACTCTAGCCAGAGGTTTTGTTTCCCATTATTTAAGATAATTCCTGAAATATAATAAAGAACATCTAATCTCAAAATGTACATCAACAGATTTAAACATTATTCTCATTAACCCCTCCAGAGCCTATAAAATAGGGTCAGCCGAAAGGGCTTTCAAATGGTCCTCAGCAGACACTAGATCATGTTCTAGTGATCTATTGCTTGAAAAGGAAAAGTCTTTTACAGCCTAGCCCCTAAGGGTTTTAAGATCATAACACTTAAAATCCATAAGTACAAGCTTTCTTTGATATCTGGTACAATACTATAAAATATGAATTAACAAGGATATTAATCATTTTACACAGTATCATTATTGACCATGCTATAATCCAGAAAAAGGGACTGAAATAGTATCATATGTGTAACTCGTTTTAAAGTTTGTAAAGATATTTCAGTTTAATTAATGGAAACCACCTGTCTAAACACCATTAGCTCATCTACATTTTTTAAGGACTGGGTTGAAACAGAAATGTAATCTTTAACCAAGTCACACAAACATTCGCTTGCAGTGAAAGGAGGTTGCTACAAAACCCTAAGCGCATTGTTTTTCTGTTATTGGGTTACAGTAGCTCAAGTCTGTAAGCACCAGAATCCCCCATCCAGCTGATCAGTTACAGCTGTTAATTGGGGAGGGAGAGACTGGCTGACATCTGCTTCTTGCATAGTTAGTTAATGGTTCACTTCCAGGTCCTAAAAGGATTGTAGCCTCTCTTAAAAGACAATGTCTGCCCGCATAGATGTCTGCCTTCTACACTGCCTGTCTTGTTCTGGTTTGTCACTCTCTATACAATGCAAATCTGAGTGAACTCACATCTGCCACTGATCGACCCAATTCGTGAGCAATCTTTTCCCATCGACCTGGGGTCCCCCCTGGGAACTTAACCATACTTCTTGTCAGCTGGCTGAGGTCCTCCTCTGTCCATTCAGGTGCCTGTAAAACATTTGTAAAACATTCATTACACTGGGATATTGGACATATTTTTTGAGGTAATATACTGAAAAAACCCTTCAAACGAATTAATCAAATAATGTAAAAAAAAAAAAATAGTTTCAATTATCTCGGTGCCATCTCCCTGTGTTGTTGCTGAAAATGCGTAAAACCAACAGACCAACAGTAAGATATTAAAAATCCTTAACACTCAAAAAATGCATTTTGTATATTGTACACACTAACACATTTAATTTCTATCAACATTTATACAATGTACATAACAGTATAAAATGCAGTAAAGAAAAAGCAACAATACATTTGTTAAAGATCAAATCACAGTTTAAGATGCAAAATTTCAGACATTTATTTAATTGCACATGTAAGATTTTTCAGCAAAGACAAAGAAAATATCCTCATTTTTACATTTTAAAAAAGCCGCTAAACAAAACAGAACAGTCATTTTAGCTTGTTGTTACTGTAATCATCCTATGTTTTAGCATTCTGGGATGATTCAGGAATGAAATCTGTTGATTCTAATATTCCATTAAGACTATTAAACAACAGCCCTCACCCCCACAAAGCACGGTTATGCCACAAAACCAAACCGGATGTTTCTATCACACAATAACCAAAAGCTACAAAAATGTTTTGCTCTATCTACATAAAGACAATCTGTCAAAAATAACTGTCTTTGTAACGGCCAAATAAAAGTGAACAAAGCAAGGAACACACAATTATAGCTGTTTAAGGCATGAAATCGCACTTGCCTGAGAAGGCAAGACGCAGTAACCATCTTTGACATTTGCAGTGTCTGTGGCAACGACTGCAGAGCCGAATCTTTGTTACCATCAGTAGTTGGCCATTTTATTTATTTTTAAGGAATTCTTTATGACATACCTCTTCTAATCACCATTTCCGATAATGAACAGGCACATATCAAGCAGTTTGCATTACAGAGCCATCAGCACAGAACAACAGTCAGAGGTGAGTGACCCCAGGGACCATCTCCACAACTACAGCAAAGCTTCTCCCTGACACTAATCCTGCCTGTCATTCTCCCACTGTGCTCTAACCACACTGACATCCGCCTGCCGCACTGCAAGCTTAACGGGGCCCTTCCTGACTTTTTACTGTCTCCCCCAATCAATGGTTCAAGCGTGCTCTTTTCACCATGTCCAAATGGCAGCTTCACTCATAATCAAAGTGCATTGCTCCTGTTAAAGGGCTTCCCGAAAGGCTCCACCATTTGCATTCATTTGCAAAGCAAACTACTTTTATTCACTTTGTTCTGCTATCAAGAGTGTTCCTTGAAGCAGATAAATTGGCATAAATACAACCTGCCACTTAAAAGACAGTAAATAATAGTCAATAGTAGCAAGGATTTCATCAATCGTCCTAGTTTGGATCCATGTAGTTCTTTATTCAATGCTGAAAGTCTCAGACATTCATATTCGGATAGTTTTTAAGACAAGTATAAAATGAATTATCTATGATGATTCAAACGCAAGACGCTTAAATGATGTGTGTGTATGTGAGAGTTCTCACACATACATTACATGCATTATCATACAATTACACTCTGGCCTACAGAAGAAATGATAAATACATAGAAAATCTCCACATTGCACAATAACCTTATTACTTTTATTGTATTAAACAAGTTCATATACTTCGTATATTTATTTATTATATTATACGCCATATATGTATTTTATACTAAAATATTTCTCAGATTTTTAGAAGGGAAGATTTGGGGTACTTAATGTTCTACTTATAAAAATTTTCATTACTGTAATTTAAATAATGAATTCTTCTAAGATTTTGGTTAAAAGCCTTTTGTTCAAAAATTAGCAAATTTCATACCTCAAAATTAGACTTAACATGCAGTTTACTGTAATTTTCTATTTAATTTGTATTCAAACTTTGTGGGGTTTTTTTGCTGAGTTTTTTTTTTTTTTGGGGGGGGGTGCTTCTTGTTGTTTCAGGTTTGTTTTTTTTTAAAAAGTAAATTCACAGCTATTCTCTCTTACCATATCCAAAGCATATCTAAGCAATTACACATGGAAATCAAGATGATCTTTTCAGTGATGTACATGTGTCAGAAGCTTTGGGGTAAGATTTATTTTCAGACTTTTTCAGTAAGCTTTGATTTTCCTATGTGCTCAAAACTTTACTAGCCATTTGTAAATACTACAGAAGTCATAAGGTTATCTTCCTAAATAACAGACAAAACTACAATCATTCTGTAGATCTGTAGCTAGTTATATAGTTAGTCCATGGCACAAGAATTCATTAGCTACATGAAAAAAGATTAACAAGTTGATATTTTAAAGCTGACAGTAATTTTAGAATGTGAAGATCTAAAACATTTATAAATTTGGAAAATCTTTGAAAAAGCTTTTAGAAAATCCACTAAAGCTGTAAAGAGCTTTTGTGAATTTGCAATTCCTCAGCAACAGTTAATTGTGTCTTTAGATGCAACAGCGCCTACTGTGATCCAACCACTACAAGCAGCTATGAGGGTGGTCATGGTGTGAATGTATTCTCTCTGTTCTAATCTGTAACCAACTGTAACTGCGAGAGTCAAATGAATGCATAAACATACTGCTTTGTCACCTAAAACCATGTGTGTCCAATATTACTGAAACACTGGGCCAAAATTCATCTCTACAGTAAAGCAATGGAAGACACCACATGGTGAGGGGACAGCTGTTGTTACTACACAAGCAGTCAGATTTTGCATCAAAAAAGCCCCATTCTGGGATTAACTCCCCATACTGAATACAAAATTAAGAGTACAGAGTTATGGTCTACAGTCTTTAAAATGAAAATAAACTACAAGTGTAGATATAAAAAAATTCATAGCATTCCCATAAATAATAATCCTTTAACATGGTTTATCATACATAGCTGGCAATATTGAAGGATTAGTTAACCCAAACCACTATGCACCTTCTATAGAAAAGAAATATGAATGTGGTTTATTGTTTATCATCACTCTTACATGTGTATCTGCACTTAGCAATTCCATACCAGCTCTTTCAGCATGACAGAGTTTTACACTATTAGGATTTTTTTAAAATATGAGCAACTCTATTTTCAATTACCTTAAAAGTAAATTTTTAGACAATAAAGCATTTCTTTTCAAGAAAACAGTCTGAGTTGTTTAGACCTGTTAACATTAATAAGTATAAAAGTATATACCCTTTTATTGATAAAACTGGGAAGTGGCTAGTATTCGAGAGTTTATAAAGAAACTTTAGAAGTTATTTATATTGACTTGACAATATGAGATAAACGGATTTTTTTACATTAAGTTTTAGCTTTAGACCGTTTCTTCCTGTCATCAATATACTGTAGATTCAATTAAAATCACTGTTGTGTGGAAGTTTGGATAATGTTTTCAATCTGGCTAGGACTTTGTGCTATGCTTCATCTAATTTTGGTGATTCACTGATTTGAGCATGTCTAGTCCATGATCTTGCAAAAAAATCATGAGGCAGCATCTATTTAAAAATACCTGTGCCAACATTTGTAGAACAAGGGTCTTAGTAAAATCCCAGACAGTTCTGCAATTCAGGATACATTTAGCCTACGAGAAGGTGGTGTTTCTATCCACTAACTGTAAGGACAGAATGTAAAGTATTCCTGATTTAATTTCTTGCCCATAATGTCTCATTTTTCTTACATTATTCTTCCATATTCTTACAATTTCTTACTTTACCTACCAGAAGTCTGAAGTCAGTCTTGTTTTATCAAGCCTAATACACATCTGACATTGTGATCCAGCTGTGGCTGAACACTAAGCATCTGCATAGTTCTAAAGATCTCTTGTGAAGCTCTAAAGATCTGCTAAAGGGTATTAATGATCTGAACTCATATTCAAAGCCACAACATGTTAATGTAACCCTTTGTTCCTTCAAAGCCATAACTCAAATCCCATTTCCACCAGTACAATTTTTATTAATTGAGCCAACAAAACCATAAGGACAGCTATACTGTTTCAGACCAATGGTCAAGGTAGGCGAGTAAGCTCACCATTTGTGCTCAGGGAGTGCAGCTGCAGAAAACTTTACTACATACTTTGTGATAACAAGAAGGACTATATTTATCATTCATCCTTTCCAGTCCCGCTCTGCTTTGAAAAAACAGGGGCCATATGCAGATATTAAGAGTAAGAGGAAGGCAAGCATATAGGTTACCTGTATTTTCCCTAATATTTTCCCTAACCCCAATTATTTTCATCTCAAGGAATTTCTCTAGGCTGATATATTTTACTTATTTAGTAACCCTCAATGAATCTCTCTTTCAATGCTTTTTTCAGTCTCCCCTGAAACTATGTAAACTTTCTGGATTTGCAACATCATCTTCATGACCAATTGCACACATCTGCTACCCATTATACAAGGAACCACCTTATTTTGTCCTGTTTTGAATGTGGCTCCTGCCAGCTTTGATGACACCTAGCTCTTGGCTTTGAGTGAAGAACCAGCAAATAGTCTACGTATACTGACTTCCATGTCACTTACAACTTTGTTCAAAATATCCCTCTCTAGTATCCCCCCGTAAGTTGTCTCTTTCTGGCTAAAGAGTCCTAGTCTAGTCAGCTGGCTTCTCATGTAAGAGCAATTTTATGCATAATACTGCCCATGATGCCTTTTTCTAAACCATCTGCAATTCCATTATAACCAACCTTCTTGAAATGAGGTACCAACTGCACACAGCAGGATTAATCATAAAGTTTATACAGTGGAATAAGGATTCTTCTGTTTTGCTCTCTATTCCTTTCTTAACAATTTCTAACACTTGCATTGGTTTTTTGAATGATACTGAGCTGATGTTTTCAGTGAAGCCAGCACTGACAAGATCTCACTGAGTGAGATCTTAGGAGGATCTCACTCCTCAAGGATCACGGCCAACTCAGAGCTCATCATCTTGTGCATGAAGTTAGGACTGTCATCCACTATATCAACATTTGCATCACTTCATATTTACATACT